TGTTGTTGTTGTTGTTGTTGTTGTTGTTGTTGTTGTTGTTGTTGTTGTTGTTGTTGTTGTTGTTGTATTGTTGTTGTTGTTGTTGTTGTTGTTGTTGTTGTTGTTGTTGTTGTTGTTGTTGTTGTTGTTGTTGTTGTTGTTGTTGTTGTTGTTGTTGTTGTTTGTTGTTGTTGTTGTTGTTGTTGTTGTTGTTGTTGTTGTTGTTGTTGTTGTTGTTGTTGTTGTTGTTGTTGTTGTTGTTGTTGTTGTTGTTGTTGTTGTTGTTGTTGTTGTTGTTGTTGTTGTTGTTGTTGTTGTTGTTGTTGTTGTTGTTGTTGTTGTTGTTGTTGTTGTTGTTGTTGTTGTTGTTGTTGTTGTTGTTGTTGTTGTTGTTGTTGTTGTTGTTGTTGTTGTTGTTGTTGTTGTTGTTGTTGTTGTTGTTGTTGTTGTTGTTGTTGTTGTTGTTGTTGTTGTTGTTGTTGTTGTTGTTGTTTGGGGGAACTAGAATTGAAACCCCAATCCACACCGGTCCCCGAGGGCTGGCGCAGGCAACAACTGAAAGGGACTGAGTACTTACTTGTTTGAACTTGTTGTTCTACTGGTACCTTTCACGTCCATTCTTTCCAGGGATCCTTCTTTCTAGAAAACCTCCGGAACCCCAGGGAAAACGGCCGGTTTTTGGAAAGAGCGATAGTTGAAAAGAATGGGAATCAACCCCTAGAGTTGTTGATTGGATGCCCTCCATATATATATTCTTTTGGGAACCTCCAAAAGTGGCAGCTTCAACGGAAACCACCAGTCAATTGCACATCCAGCTCAGGAAATGAAAGCACTGGGCAAAATTAGGGGCAAACAGTCTTGCATTAATGGTATTAGAGTACCCCAAAATCCAAATTCCAATTGTTTGGCCCTTTGTTTTTGGCTGGTTCCCAGTAGGAAACACAAGGGCTTTCGGCATTGAAATGCGGGAAACCACAGGGATGGTGTATAATGGGTGGCAATATCCTCATAGCAGTGCGGGTGCAAAGATCAAGTACAGCCGATTGAAGTGAAGGGTTCATTCAGGTACCCAAATGGAAGCCTTTGGGTATGTGAGTTTGCTTCGATGTTTTTTGAGTAAAAGAATGGTTTGACCCTATTTGGACGATCAACATTATTGGGTAAACAACGGGGTGGTTTTAGAATCCCCAGTGTTTTAATGGTGGTTTGAGCACCACACATAGGGGTTTTGGTCAATGTACTCGTGGAATACCTTATTCGTGGCGGGGTCCTTGGGTGCATCTTTGTTAGCTCCCAATCAAATCAGGTGGCCTTTCACGAAGAAGGACCCAACCTGTAGGTGTCGCCATGAGCACTCATCCATGCTTGTTCCCTCTTGGGATTTGCAGGGACTCCTGTCGCTCGGGTTCCCCTCGAAGGCGCTTCTGTTGGTCGGGTTAGGCCTTAAGTTGCTGGTTCTCGAATCAGAATTGGAATGACTCCAAGAAAAGCCATCCAGTTCCTGTGCCGGTGGCTTCCTAAAACTCCTATGAACCATCCATTGGAATGACTCCTATAACTGGTGGTTTCCTTTCGAGAATCCAACCAAAACCGGTGCCATTCAACCAACACCCCGGCTCGCAAAGTCATTCCATAAAGTTCGGCCACATATAAGTTGCTACACTTCCTTTGGCCACACCCCGCCCCCCAATGGCGAGAGGGACCTGCAAGGAGTTTTGCAGAGGATCAATACCGTGGACGGTTGTGAATTCCGCTTCGCGCACCGTTCAGAAGAACCCGACGGCTTCTGTTGTAGTTCCCCTGTAAATGCCAACAAGCGTTCTCGGCGTCCGGTTTTGTCTCATTTTGTGGTGCGAGAAGGGGATTTCCGAAACCATCCTTGGCGGTTTGGATTGCCGGTTTGGGGATGTGAACCCCTTGTTCTTGCAGAGGGTGAATGGGAAGCCCTCCTGAACCACCAAACCAACCGGGCTCCCAATCACCACTTGGAAGGGAAGGTTCCAGGAAACGCCTCAAGGGCCCAGATGGCCACTTCGTCCGCGGCCTTTTTCGATCGCTCGCGTCGACGCGGCGATTCGCTTCGGCGAGGGCGTGGTGGTCCGCGGGCTGCAAGAAGTCCCGGTGCCGAGCCTTCGGCATGCGGAAGAGGCCGGGGAAGAGTCCGGGGCGCTGGAGGGAACTCCCCAGGCAGGTCACTGAGTGGCTTGGTTTTCTTTCTTTCTTTTTTTCGGGGGGGGGATTTCGAGCCCTGGTTTTATTTTATTGATTTGTTTCTTTCTTTCTTTTTTTTGGCGGGGGATTTCGAGCCCTGGTTTTTGTTGTTTTATGGCAATTCCTTCCAGTGATTCCCACCGGACCCCTTTTCAATGTCTGTTTGGGGGAGGGTTCCAGGATGACTGCACTAAAGGGGATGGAATTCCGGAAATGGACTTGGGTACCGGACTCCCCCCCCCATTTTCTGCAGATGTGGAGTTGGAAGAGCCGTGAAGAGAACAAATTACTTCCATTTGCTGATCTGTTGTTTTGCCCTGTTGGTTTTAAAGGGACTCTATCACTATTGGAAATATGTGTTTAACAAAAATAATGCGATTTAACAAACATATGTGTTTAACTCTACCAATATGTGTGTTAACTCTATCACTATTTGGTGTTTATTTAATAATGAAACACAGGGGGGGAAATCCAGGGGGCGAAAGAGCAAATGGAAGATTACCCTTGGCCAGCTGATTTGGCCGCGGCAGCTCGGTTCTTTGGGCTGAGGCTTTGGCCGCCTTTGGCCGCCATGCAGTAGAACCAAACACGCGGCTCACTGAGTGCCCTCCCCTGTGGATGGACGACATCCGCTTCTCGCACCAACTAAGAAACCCTGGGGTCTGTTGATTCCCCGGAGTAAATGCGAACAAGCAATGGTGTCAACCATGGTTGCTTCGGTGATGCGAAGTGGGTTTCGTCCGTCCACAGTACCAATCCAACTTTGGTGAGCGCCACTCCAGTTGTCAACAACAGGGTTTCCTTTTTGGGACAGCAACTGGGCGAGCTTGCTTTTCAGACGGATGGCTTTGTTGCAGTTCGGCATTTGGTTTATGTGCAACCTGTGACCGAGCCTCTAACAGGGTGCGTCAAGTTGGACCACTCACATTTGGATTATGCCGTGTTGTTTTGCGATGTTTCTCGAGTTGTTTTACTCTCTTGAGATTAGAACCCCCACCCCAACAAAGAATGCATGTCATTTGTCTTTTGCTTACCCTCATTTGTAGACGAATCTCCTTTGGTACTGTGAACTAGTCCGCAGGGTCCGCTTTTTTCATCCGGGGTCGACAATTGGGACAGCGGGGAATCTTTGGTCAACATCATGCTGCATTTCTGGGTCTCCTCAGAACATATATGTGTAATATTTTAGGGTTCACCAACTATGAAGCATCATGTCAACAGATTAATTTTGGTGTACCTTAGCTTCCCTTTGCTTAATAATATTGTTGCTGTTTGTTCCCCCCTGTTGGTTTTAGAGGGAATCCATCACTACCGATGCTAAATTTGTTTAAAGGGGGCTTCAGCAAATGAAAGTTAGGTATGGAGTCTGAAGATCCTTGATGTGCCGTGTCTCAAGGCTTGGCAGCATGGTCGACACCAACGTGTCACTGCTGCCACCGGCATGAATGCCGGACTCACAGCGCCAGTCTTCTTTTTTTGGGGGCCGGGATTTTGTTTCCTCGCGAGGACGGCCTTTGCCCCCCTTGCAGTACCGTGGGTTGCTTTTTGTGACATCGCAACGTTTTCTGATGTAGCTGCTTTGGGGGTGTCTTTCATGAATGTTCGGAACATGTGTGTTTGGTGTGTGTGTGACATCTGTGTTTGTTTGCTACCCATTTGGAATGTCTTCAATGGGCAGCAAATGCCAAATGCCCATGCGGCTTCCATCTCTCATGAGACGAACCCTGTTCTCAGCGGGCTCGCCGCGCTCACACCTGAAGCCCTTTTCCCGCGGATTTCTGATGTTTTTCGATCTGAGAGCATGGGTGTCCCTTTGAAAAAAAATGGCGGCCCTGGCAAATGGAATAGCACCCATCCAAGCCAGTGCCATCTATTTCCAACCAAACTGACTTAAAACGGACAACTATGTTTGAGAAGTTTTGAGAACATGCTTGTCTTTAGTAATTTGAGGGGAGGTTTTAGCTATGGGTTCTGGAGAGGTTGTTTACCACTAACACAAGGAGATTATACTGCCGTGCCAGAATTCGGTCATGACCCCTTTATTGTGGGTCATGGCCGCATTTGCGTTCCCCAAAATCAGCGCTTTCCTTGTGGTTTCCCTTTCAACCAACCTGTAAAAAAAGTCCCTCAAACATGTGACACACCCACATGTTCTTAAGGGTCATGGACTCAGACGGAACCTCCAAAACCCCCGTGCAGCGCTCCCGTTCAGCGCTCTCCGCGCATCCGAAACTCTCGATTGAGGACCGCAGCAGCCGCTCGCACTGCATTTTCATGCTCCGCGCTGCGGACCCAGACAAAGCAAGAGCGGAGGCCCTCGGTCAGCGTTTTGGGTTTAAGTGTCCTTCATTGGGTTTAACAAGAAGAACATAGGTAAAAGCTAGGATTACCTTATGGATTTGTTTTAATTAAGGGGAACGGCGGTTAGAACTGTCGAGTATTTGTGTTGTGGATGGATCAATTCCTGCATCAGGTGGGATGGATGGATCCATGGATGAAGCCCTTTGAATGGTTGAGCAAACCACCTAGCAACAGATTGTGCCCATCCACACCCTCACCCTCACCCTCACCCCCACCCACCCCCACCCACCCCATCCACAGTTTTGTCGGTTTTTCAGAAGCGGAAGGAAGCGGAAGCAGTGAGGTGACCCGCCCCGGCCGGCCCTACGGGGACAAGCTGAGCATCGTAGACCTGGCAGGCTCGCCTTCCAGGAAATATATATATATATATATTTAATATATATATATACATATCTCTATATATATACATACACATGTGTGTGTGTGTGTGTGGGTGTGTGGCGGTGTGTGTGTGTGTGTTGTGTGTGTGTGTTGTGTGTGTGTGTTGTGTGTTTGTGTGTTTGCTTGTGTGTTTGTGTGCTTGTGTGGTGTGTTTGTTTTTTTCTTGTGTGTGCGTGTGTGTTTCGTTTGTGTGTGTGTGTTTCTTGTGTGTGTTTCTTGTGTGTGTGTGTTTTTGGTGTGTGTGTGTGTGTGTGCTTGTGTGTGTGGGTGTGTGGCGGTGTGTGTGTGTGTTGTGTGTGTGTGTTGTGTGTGTGTGTGGCGGTGTGTGTGTGTGTTGTGTTGTGTTGTGTTGTGTTGTGCTGTGCTGTGCTGTGTTGTGTTGTGTTGTGTTGTGTTGTGTTGTGGTGTGGTGTGGTGTGGTGTGGTGTGGTGTGGTGTGGTGTGGTGTGGTGTGGTGTGTGTGTGTGTGCCTTGTGTGTGTGTGGCTGTGTGTTTGTGTGTGTGTGTGTGTGCGTGTGTGTGCGGAGTGGCAGAATACCCTGCCACCACTTATCGCAGGGGGCGTGGCGGTCTCCTCGTAGCCACGCCAACGAAGCTATCGAGGATGACTGGATGCATCAAGGGACGCCTTGATGTGTACCTGCACCAGTTTTGCAAATGTCTATTTGGCCCCCTTGGTTGCGGCGCTGTTTGTGCTTCTTGTTCTTTCGGGTAACGTGTTCGCTGCTAGACGGAAACCAAGTGAATGCAAGCCGAACCTACACCCACTCGAGACTCATCAGTTGTACTCGAGACTCATCAGTTGTACTCGAACGATTAGCATCCTCCCTTGGGAGTTGAAGTGTGATCACCCCATCTTGGGGGAACCTCGGGTGTACCCATCGTGTGACCCCGGGCCGGTTCGCCGGAAAATTTGACCTCAACGTTCTTATCATAGACCAGCGGAATTTCACGTTTAAGCAGGAACGAGGCTTCACTAAAGGGAAGACAGCCACCAGATCATAGTTGCGTCTCACCTTTTCTCGCCTTCGTCAACCACGCGCACGCGTACAACTTCTGCCACTTCGCCCGCTTAGGGATGGCTTCTCCTTCCTCCCGTTCCTTCTTCCTGCCTTCCGTCATCCGCGTGTTGCTGTTCTTCCTCTTGGCCCGTTTAGGGTTGGCTTCTTCTCTGCCGCGTTGTTTGCCCTTTTCGTCGTCGTCCTCTTCTTGTTTGCCTATTTGCTCGTGCTCCTCGGTCCCCTCGCGCTGTTTGGCTTGCCGTCTTCGTCCCCTACCGTTGCTTCATCGTGCTCTTCCTCATGGCCCCTCTGCGGGATTCGACGCCCTCTTCCTCGAGCATTGGCTTTGTCCTCGTGTTTCTCTGGGCGGGATGCGTCGCCTTAAATACGCACACTATCCCTCCTTCTCTCCTTCTCTCTTTTCTGTTCCTTTTCTCCTGTTCCAATCTCCTTCTCTCCTCCTCCTCTCTCTCCGTTTTTCTTTTTCCCGGGCGGGATGCGGCGCCCTAAATACGCACCTCTGCTCCTTTCTTTTTCCCCCCGGGCGGTTGCGACGCCCTAAATACGCTTTCTCTCTCTCTCTCTCTCTCTCTCTTTCTCTCTCTCTCTCTCTCTCTCTCTTTCTGTCTTTCTTTCTGTCTCTCTCTCTCTCTCTCTCTCTTTCTTTCTTTCTTTCGTTCCTTTCCTCTCTTTCTTTTCTCTTCTTTTCTTTTCTTTTCTTTTTCTTTCCCTCTCTGGGCTACTTCTTGTACTTCCTGTTCGCCCGGTTAGGGATGGCCTGTTCCTCTTCTGCCTCTTGACCTTCGCGGCCCCTTGCGTCTACAAGGTCTAGGTCGTTTTGCGCTGTTTGGGGTTGTTGCCCTCGGAGACCCTAAACCTGGCTTCCCCGTTGTTCTTGTTTCTTGTTTGGGGTTTTGCCCGCGGTGGCCCAACCTGGGGCCTTTCTGTTTCTTTTGGGTTCCCTTGCTCCGTTTGTTTTCTGTTGGGGTCTTCGCCCGGTTTGGGGCGCGTGTTTTTTCACCCCGAAAAAGTGATTCTCGCCCCTCTTTGAGGGGCGTGTGTGTGCGGAGTGGCAGAATACCCTGCCACCACTTACCGCAGGGGGCGTGGCGGTCTCCTCGTAGCCACGCCAACGAAGCTATCGAGGATGACTGGATGCATCAAGGGACGCCTTGATGTGTACCTGCGCCAGTTTTGCAAATGTCTATTTGGCCCCCTTGGTTGCGGCACTGTTTGTGCTTCTTGTTCTTTCGGGTAACGTGTTCGCTGCTAGACAGAAACCAAGTGAATGCGAGCCGAACCTACACCCACTCGAGACTCATCAGTTGTACTCGAGACTCATCAGTGGCACTCGAACGATTAGCATCCTCCCTTGGGAGTTGAAGTGTGGGTATGGGTGTGTGTGTGTGGCTGTGGCTGTGGCTGTGGCTGTCGCTATGGTTTGTGGGTATGTCGCTGCATGGGTGTGGGTATCCGGATACCAGGTTTCGATTAGGACCCATTTGGGTGTTTCTCCACAAAGAGGACCCCTTTTTCAGGGCTCCTTAAAGGATACATGTTGCCCATTTGAAACACGGCTTTTTCCACCAAAACACAGGGAAGCCGCCATTTACAAGGCAATGTTCAGGTGTATAATGTAAGGATCCCTGTTTTTGAATGGTTTCACTGAACCAACTGGAAACGTGCAATTTCGTTTGACGCAGCTCACAGGCTCCGAGTGCATCAAGAAGACCTGCGTGCCGGGCAAGTCCCATGCTGCCAACAAGGAGACCGTCGAAGAGGCCGCGCGCTTAGCGGGAGGGCATAGGTTGTGTGGAGCTAGGCATATCCCTTACATGCCCCTTATATAGGCAATACTGTGAGTCTCAGCTTTGCCCATCGTGCACACTTCCAGGCTTTGTATTGCGTTTCTATGGGCAATCTACAAGGGGCCATGAGATTTTGCCCTAGAGTGCAGCTATGTCATTAGGACGTCTTTTCCCTATATGGCTGTGGCTCAAAATTAAACCGGAGGGGCAAACCGCGGGTTTTGATCCATGTTTTTCCACTTACCAAGGTTCCATGTTGGTATTCCGGTTTTTTGAGCCACAGCCATATCCCCCCCGTGGAAACCCCACCGTTCGGCGCAGGCCAAGGCCATCAACCAGAGCTTGTCGACGCTGGGCCTGGTGATCAACCGCCTGGTGAAGTCCCTCGGCCCCAAGATAGAGAGGAAGCTCCGACGTTCTTGTTGGCCCTCAGGGGGCTTATTTTTATTTGTTTTCCCGGATCCATGGGTGTGTCTCCAGGATTTGGACTCCAAGAAATGGCTGGGTTTTTCTTGTCCATGGGTAAAGTCTCAAGGGGGGTGAAACCCTGGAGCCTCCGAGTCTGCTCCGTATGAAAAAACGGTGGGCTTCATGACCCGAATTTCTCATTTTTTGGGGGGGTCATGAGCAACCATTTTGATTCGGGTCAGACTCGGAGACTCCAGGTACGCGTTTTTTTGGGGCCGATCAAGGGGTCAAGTCTCAAGGATTTGGACAGGATTCTTGTGGGCTCTCGCCCCATGGGGTTGGACTCTGGACTCTTGCCCCATGGGGTTGGACCCGCTTTTTTGTTTGATCAATGGGTGTGGTCTCAAGGAGGAAGGGCTCCAAGAAATCGTTGGAGTTCGTTTGGTCTTATGCCGGGCAATCAGCCAAAGTTCTATGAATGTCCCAACAATCAAACATACGTTAAAAGGAACAAGTGCACCATGAGATGCAAACCTAAAATACACCCAGAGAAACCTCATAAGTTCGGTTACCTCCTTTTTTTTGCGAACGCCGAAAGCACGAGCCACTCGCCACCTGGAGGATGGGCACAAAAGCCGGCTTTTTTTGACGGAGGCCGAAACCGGCGTGTTTTAATGGGACACCAAACAGCGTGAAGCCGGTGCATGCGGTCCTTCAGGGGACACCAACAAACTATCAAGATACTAGGGGTCTTTTTGATATGGGCTAGCCCTTGGAGGGTTGTTAGGGGACTGCAGGTGTCCGAAGGCAAATCGTCGAATCGTTGTGAACACACAAGGGCCCAAATCCAAGTTATGGATTGCGCTGCTTACAGTATGTTCGGGTGTCAACAACAACAACACCTACCTTGAGACTCCGCGTGCAGCCTATTCAAGCGTTTCGGGCCGGTCATGTTTTTTTTTCGGCATTTCTGAGAATGTACCCTTTGGGCTATGTGCTGTTTGTTTTCTGCGCCTCTGAGTAAGATGGAGGCCAGCTAAACCCTCACTAGAGGAATCTCCTGTTGGGAAAGTAGGACTCCTGGGGGTTCCATGTCTTCCATTTGCTCAAGAACGTGTTGTTCTTTCCTTCGGTTGGTTTTTGGGGTATCACTGGAACTAGCTACTGTATTGTTCCAGGAGACTTGAGCAAAATAGCGCGAACTAGGTCCCCCAGCTAGGTGCCCTTTCTCACCCCTTTTTTGGTTGGGACGGTTCCCCTACTAAAATCGACAGCAAAAAGAAACGGCACCAACTTATTCGAACCTCTCTGCTGGAGGACCCAGATGTGTTTTTTTCTTTCCTTTTGGCTTTTGGGGTATCACAACTCGCCTTTTGTTCCAGGGGACTTGAGAAAATACTTCTAGGGGTACCTGCCATGTCCCTTCTTTCCAGAGATCCGGATCTTTCTAGGAAACCCCCCAAACACAAAACCCGGGGAAAATGGATCCGGTTTTTGAAAAGAAGGATGGTTGAAAAGAATGGAAAAGGAATCGACCCCTAGAAGTATTTGCTCAAGTCCCCCAAAATCGACTGCAAAAAGGGCACCCTTGTTCTAACCTGTCTACTGGAGGACCTAGGTTAAGTGGCGGGGTGGCCAGCTCCGTTTCGCGGTTGCTCTTTGGTTGCCCAGGTTGCAGAGCACGAGGAGCGGTGACATCCACGTGCCGTATCGGAGCTCCAAGCTGACCCGGGTCTTGCAGGACGGGCATCTTCGCCCTGTTTGGAGGTGAAGGTCATGGCTGCAAACAAAAATAATTACCCATGTGTCAACCACCCAAGCATCACATTATGTGTATAATAATGTACATGCATATATGCAATGTATACATACATGTATAATATTCTAGCGAGGTGTCATTTTGGGAGGGTACATATGTTTGAGGGTACCCCTGTTGATTTGGAGTTGGTAGTACGAAGGGGTGTTGCTATGTTTGGCGAGTACCATGAGCCGAGGAGGATGTGTCTTCTTTGCAGTTGTTACCCCGTTTGAGGTGGGTGGAAAGCAACAAAGGGAAGTGGATTCCTTTGATCTTCCTTGACCGTTGCAAATCAAGTTACCCCGAATTGGTGTTTTGGATTGGCTGGGACGAGTTGCCACTTGCCATTGAACAAAGGGGATGGGGGTGGTTTGTCCGCCCCACCAATGTGTCTTGCTTGAAAAAGATCGAGGGACTGTGTGAGAGAGAGCGAGGGAGCAACTCAGCAGCGGTCAGCGTTTACGGCCGCTTGCCGTAGTAAGGATCAACTATTGGGTACACTCGCCAAATAAGCATTAGACTGCGGGAGTCATCAGGGCAAACACTGAACAATGACCGTAATTACCTCAGAAGAGATGTGCGTTTCTAGAAAGGAACGGACCCCTGCGCACACATTTTGCCTTAAGGATCTTGGACTGGCCACCCCCCCGGCGCTTGGTTTTCCAGTTGGGGTGGCGATTCCCAGCTTGGGGCTTGCTGAAAAATCCAGCTGCAACCGCGTGGAGCGCGAGGACAGTTTGGGAGGAGGCCGCTGGCTGAGACATCCAGTGGCAAATGGATGCCTTGAAATCTGCAACATCCACTTACCTCTTAAAAAACACAACTTTCAACTTTTTGGGTAACATGGGCTATATGTCTGTAAAAGCTTGACTTCCCCACTCCTTGGAGTTTTAAGCGGTAAAAATGTGCGACATCCAGTGCCCTTTTTGTGATTTGTCGGCAGGGGGGTGTCCCAGAAAATCAACTACCCCACCCAAAACAGGCTGCCATTTGTTCCCTTGGCCACTGAAAGTCTGGTAGGTCAGTTTTGTGGAACATAGGCGGGAAATTCAGATTTTGTGTTCAACGAACCTGGAGTTTGCATAAAGCTAAAAAACTGGGATGGTTACCCAAAATAAAGGGCTCATGACCCCATATCTGACTAGGTCCCCCAGTAGTGCCCTTTTACCGTTTTTTTTTGGGGGAGGGTTGCCCTACTAAAATAGACGACCGCAAAACAAATGGTACCAACTTATTCTAACCTCTCTACAGGAGGACCTAGTTGATAAGGATGGAGACTCCAGGTACCGAGACCCATGTCTTCATCACACGTTTTTTGCGCCTCACTTCGAGGCTCAAGAACCGCCCTCACCATCAACTGCTCCATCTCCTCCCTGCAGGCGGATCGAGTTGTTCCGTGTTTTTTTATCCAACAGCTGAAAGCTTTGGGGTCTCAGCCCAGATAGGCTCCGGGGTAGTCCGGGGCAGCCCGAGGTACTGTGCACGCGAGGGTTCCACCAGGGTTCCACCGGGGTTCTGGGAGGGTGGGGTGCTGTTGGGGATATCGCCTGAGATTCTTTTTGTTGCCGGGGCGCTGGACTCAGCTTGCTTCAAATCTTGCTGGTGCTCAGGGAATGAGGGAATGACCCCTATGAATCATCCGTTATGGTTTCCTAAGGGAATCTTCAGGTTTATTCCCTCATTCCCGCTGAGCACCAGCGAGGAATCCGCTCATCCCTCATTCCCACTGAGCACCAGCGAGGAATTGGTGGTTTGGCGCTCAATTTTGGGGCTACTTCCCATTTACCCTCCAGAGCCTGGGGTTTAAACCCCCAAACCACCAATCCAAGCCACACATTCGGGAGGCTGCTGGACCCCCAAAGCAACCGATGTACCTTCAAAGAACAACAACACACAGACCAACGTTGACTTGTTCAAAGGAAAACCACAAGAAAGTATTGTCCATGTTCAGAGTGTCCAGTTGTCCTCGAGCACATTGGAACCCGCCAGAGAAATGGCCTTGAGGAAAATGCTCGCCGGGACGCCCCCCCACTTCGTCAGGTTCCATGATCAGCATTGGCAAGGATATGGGAAGTGTTTGGACCCTGCCGCCTTGTGCCGCGCAGAATGCCAAAAACAACGCCGGTAGAATTGTTTGTTGTTTAGCTCTTCATTTGGTCCAAGCGGGGTTGGGACGGTCATGAACCGCTGAATGTTGACCCCGGATTAACAAGCCGGTGGTGCCCCTGGTTTTAGTGGGGCTTTGTCACTTCTGGAAGGGCCCCCACCCCCATATCAACAAACAGGGGCTTATTAATCCGGGGTCAACATTCGGGAATTCTGATGCAGCCCTGATAAGGTTCCAAGTAAAGGTGGCTGGTGCCATGACCCACATACAGTTTTGACCTTGGCACTATGTTACATACATCCCGACCATGTGTCCCTGGAGAACAACCGGAAAAGGGAACCTGCAGAAAACATCCCAAATGCCGTGAATGGACGAAATCCATTTCGCACCACCGCTCAGAAACCCTGATTTCTGTTGATTCCCCTGCAAATGCCAACGAACAGTGGTATCCCATGATGTCAAAGTGGTGCGAACGGATTTGGTCCATCTCACAACATCATTTAAGCCAATGTTGAGGGTGTCAACTTGGCCCCTGCTCATCCAAGACCTGCAGGTCTTGAATCAGGGGTGCCGGCTCCCCACTAGGAATCATCGGCTGTGGGGACCCCTGACAAGAACCTGGCGAGGTGTTCATCATGGAATCCCTACCTAAAATTGCGGGAATCTTAACGAACCACCAACAATTGGCCTTCGTGGCTTAAACTGCGGCTCGCCGGGCCAAAATCGGCCGCTCCACTTGGTTGTTCAGCCCAGCAAGTCGCCATCGGACTCCAAGAACGCCCAACCCTCTGCCTTGGGTGTTCAAGCTACTTAGTACCCGGAGTCTCCTTCTGACCCCTGGAAAACATGGGTGGTCATTCACCAAAATACAGGGGTCAGGACCCCATGTTTGATTCGGGTCATGGAGACTCCAGGTAGATTATAACCATATGCACTAACCCCAGTTACAAGTTATATCCACGAAAACGCACTTCCCTAACCTTGGTTGAGCACCCTAGCAGTCTTGATGGGGAGCTCCTTTTTAGGGATCGCGGGCTGATGGTGTGCGTTTTACTCCTCGGTTCGGTTGACGAAGCATTACTGCGAGGACAAGATGGGTCTGTTTTGTTTTTGAGGCTGGGGGCTCCTTTTCCGTGTCACGCCCGTGTGAACCTTGACAGCCAGGTAGGGCCACACATCAATAGATGTTGGTCGCTGCTCATTTGAGCCACGATCAAACCCCGGATAATTGGCGCATGTAGTGCGGCATACACCCCACCCATAATTTGGTGCGGATATCCGCGCGTTTGTTTCTTTGCATGGATTGAGGCACACCTTTTTTCAGGATTTGAGTGTGACTTATATGGACTATGCTTGGCAATCAGCGGCGTTGCTTGCTGGTCCCAAACAGGTTGCTGAGACGCTTTCAACTCTTCGCTTCGGCACACGCGCGCTCCCCAGATATGATGAGACGCGTTGGCACATGGTGTGTTTGTGTTGCTTGTGTTGTTTGTTTGGTTGCTTGTTTGTTTGTCTGCTTGTCTGTTTGTCTGTCTGTCTGTTAGTTTGTTTGTTTGTTTGTGTGCGTGTGTCAATCTTGGGGAGCCGCAAAACGGTCTGTCTTACCGTTTTGCATGTTTTCCGTGGTTTCCGTTTTAGCTAGCAACAACCACTTTGACGGTGGTATTTCCAGCTTGGATGTCTCAAATATAGCTTCCCAAAACAAGTCTGCGGTTTTCCGGTTTTCATTTGGTTTCCCTTGCACCTCACAGGTCTGTCTGCGCGGTGGCTGGTTTCAGCCGCGAGTTCGGTTTTTGCAATCTAAGCGGTGCCCGCCACATCATGGCCTTTTTTTTGTGGGGACGGGGGTCCCCCCAATATGGTCTAGGTCCCCCCTCTTTTGGCGGAGGGTTCCCCTACTAAAATAGACTACAGAAAGAAGGGTACCCTTATTCTAGCCTCTCTACTGGAGGACCTAGTGCTGGTTTGCTTGTTGGTTTGCCTTCGAAACCACGAAACAGGGGTACTGTCAGAGAAAGACATACCCATGTTCTTGTTCTGGCCTGAAATCAAGCACGTGGTGCTTGCTAAAATAATGCACGCCTTGAGGTTCGAGTCGGGGCTTTGCTAAGACATGTTCAGCATGACATTGCGCCTTTTGTCGCGCGTGGGGCATTAGGGAGCCCAAGGTAGCCTTGGAGAAGTCGAGCGAGTTCGGCAATGTTCCTCAGGATCCACGAGTAGGTGATTCCCCCATGTGTCCGCAATCAGGAGCCCGGATGTGCGTGAACACGGCGCCATCCAGCAGCTGTGAGGCCGAAGCTGTTTTTGTGGTCAGATCATGCGAGTGCTCAGGTTTGTGCGAAAATCGGGGAGGCCACATCCTTGGCGTTGTGGCTTTACAACAAATACCCGCCCAAAACCAGTTTGCCCCAACCAAAAAAAAAAGGTCATTCCTGACTCGGATCCATTACGGACCCAATCAGTGGACGAATCGGAAGTTGGTGAAACCCGAATCCCAGAGCAGGGCTCCTTAAAAGATACATGTTGCCCATTTGAAACATGGCTTTTTCCACCAAAATAAAGGGAAACCACCATTTACAAGTTGAAATGTTCAGGTGTATAATGCATCCGGATCCCTGCAGAGAAAGGGTCGCCGAAACCCACGGGAGCTTCTTCGCAACCTGGAGGGGTCTTTGATTCCACTCGCACGCGTTTCCAGCAATGGGAGTGCGAAGGATTTTTGGAAGCATAGGTATCCTTTTTGGGCTAGCTTGGATAGAAATAGGTGGCACCGGTTGTTTTTATTTTTCCATCTACCAGGGAAATCTGTTTTTCCAAAAGGCACGTGGACGACTACCATCCTCTCAAGGCCTTTGTCCAATTGCACGATTCTCGGAAGGATGGGAAGGTTTGGTGGCTGACATTCAAAGCTTGCCTTTGTTGGACAGAATCGCAATGATCGATATGTTGGAAACCGATATGTTGGAAACCGATATATGTTCCGTTGAACCAGCAAGCAGATATTGTGCTGTCCGGTCGAGAGGCGCTTGGATTGATGGTAACAACTAGCACGGAAGACCAATCGCGAGTCGCGCCCACTCGTATACCAACGGGGCCAGAGCCCTAGTGACGGACTAGGGACTCTGGTGACTCTTCCAAGACTAAGGACTCTCCCTGGCATTGCATCAGAGCAATCTTCGAGGTAATGTTGACCCCGGATAAACAAACCTTCCTGCTCATAGGGTAGTTGGTTGCCCCTCCAAAAGTCCATAATTCCCTTACTACACCCCGAATCGGACACCCCGCCATTAATAGACTGGTTGGTTGATGAATCAACGGCTAGCATTTTTGCGATTATTGTATGGAGGAGGGGTATGCTCCAAACTAAGAACCATTCCCCCAGACTTGTCCCGGAGCCCCCCCCCAGTTCTTCCGGGTTCGGCTGAGCCACGGGGATGGCAAGCGTGCAGAAAATGGATTTGTCTCAGAATAGGAATCGGAACCCCCCAACATGGGTACCTGGAATCTCCTTCTGACCCGAATGAACATTGGGTTCACGACCCGCATCTTTATTTTGGGTAAGGAGCCACCTTTTTTTAGTCGGGTCATCGAGACTCCAAGCAGTTTCCTTTTGGTTTCAGTTTGAAACCATCCAAGACAGGTACCCTCCAAGAAAGACACATAATGCCTATAAAACACGCAAGCTGGCTGTCTTTTCAAGGGACGCCCAAAGTTGCCTAAAGAACATGGGTTGAAATCATCGAGCTTCGCTGTTCCCAGCCATTGATGGAACCTGAGGCACGACGAGCGACTTTACGGCACATCCCACCAACAGTTCTTCACAAAAGGCAAGGGATCAAAGCACCAACATATATGGGCGTTTCTCGAACACCCTTTGAGCTGGAGGTTGTGCTATCCGTCATTTGGGGACTTGACCGCTAAATGGAGGTTGTCCTGTCCGTCAAAAGGGGGATTTGCCATTCGCTGGCTTTGGAGGAGCCGATGCTCTTGAAGACCCTGCGAGCAGCACGCCAGGAGCTGCAACGCCTGCAGGCCGGTTCGAATTCGAGCTGAGGCCTTTGAAACATATGGGTGGCTCGTCTTTTTTGTTTTTAGTTGGTACCGCTTGTTGGTGGTTTAACGGGGAGCCCTAAGGAGAAACCGAAACCCATTTTGGGGGGTCCGAATCCTACAAAAATGACACCCAGCGAGTTGGGTTTCGCTGAACAGCTCCGAGGTATTTGCTGGCTTAACCAGAGGCACCGAGTGGAATCCGAAGCCAATTTGGGTCGTAAACTTGGCGAGCGGGAAGTCAACGATGGCAAGTTCGATTATTGTCTTGGTGGTTCCCAGCCATCCGGTTCCTCAGTTGTTTGGTCTTTAGTTGCTTGAGTTGTAGTTTCCATTTTACCGCTAAAGTTGATTTTTGAGGAGAGAATCTGAGGACAAACCAGATTTGGCAGGGCCTTTTGTCGAGCACAGCATTTTCACCCATGCCACCACCTAATTGTGGGTGATGCTGGTTGGCAGACTGTTGTTAGTTTTGATGGTTGCCATTGCTTGCCGCGCGGGCAACCCGGCCTGCGCGATGATCATGAATGTCGAACACCTTGCGCAGATGCAAGCATTTTCAAGCATGATGTTGATTGCCACCGATACACTAGCTTCCTTTTGTCACAGGGTTCTGACCAACACCCCCTTGGTTGCTAGAAACTCGGTGGGTTCGTGTGGTGTCCCTGGGACCACAAATTTCTACCAACTCGTGGCCAAAAAAGCCAGCCAGCCACTCAATGCGAGGCGCGGGCCCTCTACTCCTGCGACAGCCTCAGACTTCGTGAGTTGTTCAGCAAGTCACTGTCGATTTTAGCAAAGAGGAAGCTGCAAGAAACATGGGTGGTTCTTGCACAACGATCATGGCTGGTCTTGAATCGTAGTTTCGGTCGATTGATCATTTTGGAACGCGAGGTTGGAGCCCACAATATGTGCCGGTACAAATGTTAACAGAGTGAATAACCCTGGTTGACCAAGTAGAGGATGTCCATGTTTGGAGCATCCGTCCACAGAGGTCAAACAGTGATCCAGGGTCATTTGGGTATGTGTTCTTTGGGCGGACTCCTACAATGGGAGTATGGTCCCTTTGGTTTCTCTTCAAAACCACAACAAAACGAATACCCTCAGGGAAAATGGACATTTTGTTTTGTTCCTCCAAGCGTGGTGGGTACCAACGGACGACAAGACAGCTAGAGTCTCCTTCCGACCCTTAAAAAGTGGTTGGTCATTACCCAAAATAAAGATTCGGATCATGGACCTACTGTGGATGGACGAAATCCTGCACCGCCTGAGAAACTTTGGAATGTTGATTCCCCTGTAAATACCAACCAACAATTGTGTCAACCATGGTTGCTTGGGTGGTGCGAAGTGGGTTTCGTATCCATCCACAGTATTTCTAAAGGGTCAGAAGTAGACTCCAGGTGGACATATGTGGATGGACGGATTGCGCCGCCCAAGAAATCCCTTGAATGATTCCATTCCCCACCAAATACCAACAAACGTTATGGGTTTCCATGGTATCCAAGTGGTGCGAACGGCACTCCCACTCGTTTCGCCTGTTGCGCCCTCAAGGCGATGACGGCGACTCGGACGGGACGCCCTTCTCAGGGCTTTCGGCGCTGTCCCTAGAGCAGGCGCCGGGGGTGACGAACTTCTCGCGCGCGAAGCGCTCGGGTGAAATTTGCGCAGTTCAACCCTTGGATGGTTTTCAGGGGGTAAATAGGGCTGTCTTTTTGTAAGGGAGCTTTGACTTGTTTAGGGGGGGGTACCCGTTTTTGATGGTTTCGAGGGGTAAAAAGGGCTGACGATTTAATTAGGTGGTTCTGAAGGGATATGAAAAAGGGCTGTTTTTTCGTGAAAAGGTACCCTTCTTTTGGTTTTAAAGGGGCACCGCCATTTTGGATGGTTTTACGCTCCTGTCCAAGTTGCCATGGAAACCACCAGAGGCTCGGCCACTTTTACAGGAAAACAGTCCAACCAGGATCCCTCCGTCAGATTCCATGTGAATGGACAGGAGGGCAAAGGGATTAAGCAGAAATCACCCAATTTAAGAGACACCCATTTTTAGAGACAACCCCAAATGTGTTTTGGTGACACAACCTGCAATTGGTGATTTGGATTGATGGTTTGGGGGTTTGAGCCCGTGGTTCTTGTAGAGTGGGGAAACTACCCCTTAACCACCAGAGGGAAGCTGATTTAGGGCCGGATGTGTCACTTTGGCGTCATTTCTTTCTCATTCCCTCATTCACCTGCCTATTGTCAAGCTCACCGATCCTGTACTTGGGAATCCCTATTATTATCCAAGTTTGTTTTTAACAAATGTGGGAGAATAGTTCTCTTTTACATACTGTGGATGGACAGAATCCTGCACTTTGAAACCATCATCAATCAGCCACAACGTTTGTTGGTATTTACAAGGTATGTAGTCAACCTTACATCAGCTTCCCCCTAGTTGGCTGTTTGGATTGCTGGTTGGGTGGTTTCGGGTGGTTTCGGGGTTGTTTCCCATGCACCCACAAATCTCTTCGCACACCTCACATGCTTCCCTGATTTTGCTTATTGTGGTTTAGTGGGAAATCCCTACTTAACTGCCGCGGTTTTGCCCGTGTCGCCTTGCCCTAACCACCGATTCGCCGCGGTTTTGCCCGTGTCGCCTTGCCCTAAGGGTCCGGATGGAATTTGGGGCCTCAAAATTATTTGTCCTTTTGATACCGGGGACCCCGGGGTCTTCATACTAAGCCCAGGACCCCTAGGGTAGGTGGAATTGAACACCTGGGCCAATGTAAAGTGGTACGCTTCTTCTTTTCTAGGGTGTTAAGCGACCAGGGCGTTTCAGCGGACACAGACGGTAAGACCGTATGCCATTTTAAAATAGTATATATTTTTTTGCTGGGGTCATGGTGGGGAAAAGAATATAAGGTGCTATTGTTTGCTCCTGTATGACTAAATTTGGGATTGCAGTACCCAAGCCCCAATTCTAGTTATTCAGCCCCTTGTATCTCACTTCCTGAGTTCATGAACTTTAAACTTTTTGGGAAGACAATTTTGGTGGTAAATTTAAAGTTTGAACTTTTTTTGGGCCATCCACTCAGCCAGTGAGGTATGGGTTTGTGTTTTTGAGGGGCCCCCCGTTTTGGGTTGTATTGAAAAATCAGCCAAAAGGAAAGCACCCATGTTGGGCCTCGGTGCCCCCATTTTGCACACCTATTGGCCTGTGTCGTGACTCAATTTCGGTATTGCAGAGCCCCAACTCGCTGTACTCGTAATTCTCTTTTGCCTTCAGAGTTTCCCATTAGACTAAGCCCAAAAAACGTGGGGGGGGGGGGGGGGTCCTGAAAGCCCATTCAAAAATTAGCTGGGGGTCTGGGGGGGGGGGATATACTGGGGTCGTTAGGGGGGGGTTCCTGAAAGCCCATTCAAAAATGAGCTGGGGGTCTGGGATATACTGGGGTCATTGTTCGGTCAGTTTCCCTTTTACCCACCACTTGGGGGGTTGACTTCGAGCATGGTGAAACAGGACCAGGAATCCAAGGACTTTTGCCTTCAGAGTTTCCCATTAGACTAAGCCCAAAAAACGTGGGGGGGGGTTCCTGAAAGCCCATTCAAAAATGAGCTGGGGGTCTGGGATATACTGGGGTCATTGTTCGGTCAGTTTCCCTTTTACCCACCACTTGGGGGGTTGACTTCGAGCATGGTGAAACAGGACCAGGAATCCAAGGACATCATGTCTACACACATAACTTAGTTATTAACCACTATGTGTACCATGTTATGACGTTTCCAGGCATGGGTTTTGGAGGTATGGATGCTTGTAAACCACCATGTGCTGGTAGCTCGGTATATAAGTTGCATCGCACCTCCCCAACACCCATAGCCAGAAAATGCTTGTTTCGCGGGCAGATGCTGTGGATGGACAAAATCCTGCACCACCTAAGAAACCCCGGTGTATGTTGATTCCCCTGCAAAAATACCAACCAACGTTATGGTATCAACCATGGTTGCTTAGGTGGGGATTTCGCAACCGTCCACCGTATCTTTTGGGAGGCCGCCGCTGCTTCCGGCTTAGCTTTCTTGGACCCAAATCGGGGATATCTCATTCCGCGCCCATCGAACCAGCCGAAAAATCGCGGAGGTGTCCACTTTGTGTCGGCTCCGGGTCATGCTGCAACCCTCTTTGGCTTAAGAACTAGAGATGGACAGTGTCCCTGTAATAAGAAAAAATGGGAGGCTGCCGTGTTTGCTAGCACCTTGGACTGCACTTCCCCAGAATTAGTTCCCCCCTTTTTTGTTTCCCTTTTTGCGGTTCCCTTGGTTTTCCGCTAACCAGGCAAAACACTTTATTTTGTTTGGCTGGGGTCCTAATTCCAGCCAAGTCAACAGGAAGACTTTTGGGCTGCCCAGTGCGATCGAATCGTGTCCTCTTTGGTTGCTTTGATCGAAAAATCGAGGCCGATTCCTGTTTTGCCTGGTGGGTTTTCTTCCTCTACCAGGGAAACTCATCTAAAACCCCCCGAAACGGTGACCTATCTAACCCGGGAAGCAGACAAAAGCAAAAAACAGAAGAAACAAACCCCGGAGCCATCAGGAGTCCGTCAGCACCCTGGACTTCTCACCAGAGCCCGCGCTCCCGGGCGGCCACCGCTCCCGCTTCGCGCCGGGCGCTCGGGAACCACTGAGCTGCGCGAGGCGTGGCTCAGACCGGTTTGCCAGGTATCAACTAGGTCCTCCAGTAGAGAGGTTAGAATAAGGGTACCAACTTTTTGCTGTAGTCTATTTCCCAAAAAAGAATCGGTAAAAGGGCACTACTGGGGGACCTAGTTGAACCGACTGTTGCTCTTCAGACACCAACTAGCAGGGATACAGGGGGAACCAGTTTGATACGGGAGGATTCCCCCGTTTGATGCACCTCAACTGCTTTGATATGGGAAATGGTGCCAAGGGAATCCCCCCATATCCCCGCTCCCTCCGTATCCCCGCTTGTTCGTTTGTTCAAAGGCACCGAAATCTTATTCCCAGCGTCACTCCCTGAGTCCTGGAAGCTTAGTATGGTTTAGGCACTTTTTGGGGGTTTGGTTGCCGTTTTTTAGTGGTAAGGAAGAATAGGTCTGGCAATTGTTTGGGCAGTCCACTCAGGAAGTGAGTTTTTTTTGGCTTCGTATTTTTCGGGGAAGGCCAGTTTAGTGGCAAAGCGAAAGTTCAGACTTTTGCTGGCCAACCCACTCAGCAAGTGAGAAATCACCACCATAGTGGACAATGTGATCCACTATAGTAGGTAACTAGGGCGAAACATTCATGGTAAAACCTGGGAAGAACCCGCAAAGTTACTTGCTATAGTGGCTTGCCCGAAAGCACTGGGCTATACTGAGTTGCTAATTCAGAGCTCACTCGCCCGGGGTGGAGGCGGGGGGCATTGCAAGCTAATGCTGTTCATTGTCTACGAGTGATCCTCCGATCATGGCTCCCCTTATGGCTTTGAACCAGTATTGTAATATCTCCAGTGGTTGGCGGTGGGGTACCAGTGGGAGTGGTGCGCCTTAAGTTATAAGGGGATCTGAAGGAGGGCAATCCCTCATTTGCCCCTCTACCGATTGCCGGGTTTACCTTATTTGCTTGGAGAGGCGATCGGCCACCTAGTTGTTGACACAACCCACCGCAGCCGCCTAGTGGAAGAGCCACCGGCGTTGATTGTTGCAAGTTGGTGAAGCAAACGAGGGGAACATGAGGGATACTTGCGCCATGGCGTTGGGTCGCGACTCCTCCCTGGGGTTCAGTTACCCACCAATTAAGCAATGGTTGGGTAGGCATACAGTAGCCACCATTATTGGGTTAATATACAGTAGCCCTAATTATTTACCCTTCAGGATATTTCGTCCAAGTTGGGTCCCCTTGGGCCATTCTTTGTCGCGGGGGGCGTTTGGAAATCCAGGGCTGCTTCGATTTTGCGCCGCAAGGCCTTATGGGATGGAGCTGAGCCTGGTTCAGGAGGCAGACTGTGAAACCGAGGCCCACGTGCTGAGTGGATTGGGGCGATACGGCGCGACATTCGTAGCCTTTTCTAAGCGTGTGTTGTCGTTTTTTTTCATTTTTGTTTATTTGTTTTTTCCTGTTTTTTCCTTTTTTTCTTCTTTTTTTCCGTTTTTTTTTGTTTCTTTTTTCTTTTTTTTTACCAAGAGTTCAAGGGAAACAACCGATTTTGAGGGTTCACCTATACCCTGTTAATCGGTGGTTTGTCGACTTCTTTTTTGCCAAGAGTTCCAGGGAAACTAGGGAGAAACGACCCATTTGGAGGGTTCACCTATCACCTATACCCGGTAAGGAATGAGTGGCTCACCATTTGAAGAGACAAGCCCGTGCTCCGAGCAAGCTCTGCCAGATGGCTGAGAGATGACCTGCGGGTCATTTGACATCCCTGGGTATGCCAGTCCCTCACTTCCTGAGCTCCTGGACTTTCAACTTCTTGGGAAGACCCATTTTACCTGGAGTCTCCTTCTGACCCTTTAAAAATGGGGGGCATTAGCCAAAGATAAGGGGCTATGATGCCTTTTTCTGGGGGTCATGGAGACTCCAGGTAGTGGTAAATGACAAGTCCACTTTCCTTTTGGCCAAGCCACTCAGGAAGTGCGGTCCCCTTGCCATCCCATGGAGCCTCCTATGGCTGGTAGGGGCAAATGCCGATTTGCGGTGAATTTTACTTATATGTGTCTTGTTTGTCACTTCCCCCTCTTGTAAAGACACCTCGAAAGCACACTGGGAACAGTAGACCAAAGCAACAAGTGCGGCGAATTTGACTTATGTGTCTTGTTTGTGGTGTGGTTTCTGCAAGGTTGTTGTGGTGATCTGTGTTGAGAAGGTCCCAGGAACAATTCGATCGTCCTGTACAAACTGACAGCAGCAGCGGGCCGCGCCTTTCTCCATGTTTTCTTCTCCGGGTTTGCGTAGCATTTGTTTGGGGCTGAAATCCCAAGTACCAGCCGAGTACCGGAACGCCCAAACGTCGCAAGGCCACGGAAGTAGGTGCTGAGAAGGTCCCGTTTTGAATGGGGGGTGAAGCGGCCTCTAGAGACCTTGAGCCTTCACTCCTTCGAACTTTGGACTTGGACTGCGCATTTCCCCCAAGCTCCAGTTATGGAGTTTCCAACCCAATCGTTCACGCGGTACTGTAAGGGTCCTGGGGCTTTGCAGGCCCCGGGGGTTGCAACGAGGTGACACAAGTCGACCTATTCTTCGAGGACTTCCCCAAAATCCATCGATCGGACTAGAGCCACAAGTCACTCGGACTTTGCGAGTTCCGAGCGCCAGGATCTCTCAATTCCTTGCCGCTTATCGCTGGCGCGGCGCTTGGGAAATGAGCTGTGATGGCCTTTCTGGTGGCCCGCGGGTCTGAAACGAGCGCCTAGATAGCCAGGGTGCTGTTTTGTTCAGTCACGTTTGCTGGTTTGTGGGGTAAAGTGCATGGGAAAAAAATGCGGCAAGGCGATCCAGGCGATTCCTGATTTACTTGACTAGGTCCCCCAGCTAGGTGCCCTTTCTCACCCCTTTTTTGGTTGGGAGGGTTCCCCCTACTAAAATAGACTACAGAAAAAAAGTTGGTGTCCTTATTCTAACCCCTCTACTGGAGGACCTGGTTGACAGGGGCCCGGCCCACGTGGGGATTCGAAAAATATCCATGCTAAATTTCCACAAAAAATACCCATGCTTCCCAAGCCCGGACAGTTTACCAACTCCCAATGGGTCAAGTGTTGGTATATTTTGCCTACATGGATTCTGGGGTAGACTTAGGATACATTTTACATCTTACCAGTGACTCAAAGTGAAGCAAACAATAAACACACATTCTATAACTGGGCCTAACTCTAATCATGGATTGCCCGGGAAGAGAACCATGACCCTTTTGGGCCATAGGAGTTTTGACCATGGGGGTCACCAAAATTAGTACAAGGCGTATCCACCTCGTTACCCCCAAACCCGTGGGTTGCAACCCAACATGTTGGGGTGTCCCATGAAGAGTTCGTCAGGCGAAGGCCCCCGCAGTTGTTCAGTGGCACTGGCAACTGCTCACTAAAAATGGTCCAAGCCCCAACAAGGGTTCCGTTCTTTTTTCCAGGGTCACTGAACAACTGCGCCCCCAAAAAAAGATTGGGGTGTCCCCTGACGACTTCGAAGCTCTATTTGGAGTCTCCATGACCCTTAAAAAATGGGGCCGTTACCCAAAACAAAGATTCGGGTCATGACCAACCATTTTTTAAGGGTCAGAAGGAGACTCCAGGTCTGCATTTTCACCCTTGGGAATGGCCCAGGGTGGTTTCGGGCGGTACATCAAGCCAAACCAAACCAGGCCCCAAAAAAGGGTTTCAAGGACGAGAAAAGCCCGAGGCGACGACGCCCCACCAGGCGGCGCTGAGCCTTCCGCGGCCTCCGCGGACCTCCAGCCGCCGGGCGTCGCGGCGCTCGCGGCGGACCTCGCGACTCGGCCGAATGGACTCGCGGCCGGACCGGGCAGCGAGGTGGCTTAAGCCCAGACACTCCACATATGAAGTACCGTCAAAATTACTTCTGTTGAGTTTAGTATTCGGGTGTTTCATTGATATTGTGAAAATGCACAAAACTAAGGCAAACGATAGGGGACTCTCAAAAAAACGATACTCTTGCAAAACAATGGAAACGCTGGAAAAAGATAGGGGACTCTCAAACTAAGTAGCGAAACGGCCGTAAGTAAGTCATGTTGACCGTGCCTCATATAGGTAATATATATATATATATATGTACCTATGTACATATATATATATATATGTATGTATGTATATATATGTATATATATATACATGTATGTATGTGTATATATATACTTATGTATGTATCCACATTTACCAACTCCCAATGGGTCAACTGTTGGTATTACCTACATGGATTGCCTGGGAAGGTGAGCAAATGGTTGGCTCGTCTTTGTGTTGGAGTTGCCCCGGTTTGGGGACGGTTCTAAAGAGAAACCAAAAGGAAACCATTTTTTGTGGGGGGGTTCGAATCCGACAAAAGGACACGCCATGCCATGATTTTTAAACAGGAACCACCTCAAAAGTGGTTGGGACATGAATTCCTGATTTCTGATGTCCGAAGGGTCCATACGTTCAAACCAGACCCGTCTCATGGTCTCAATGTGGAAGGATACACATCTTTGATTTGGTGTGTAGCGAAGCTAAACTTGAAAGGTGTGGCAGGTGCCACACAATCCACGTAATACATGCCCACATATGCCCACATTTAGCCTCCAAATGGGTCAAATCTTGGAATATATCTTCCCTTCCTGGATTGCCTGGGGGTTATCACTCAGGATTGCATGTAGGTTTGATCCAATTGGCTGTGCTCGGATCAACGCTGTAGCTTGGATCGATTCGTTGCGGCCTCCCACAAATCAGTTGCACCTCGAAGCGGAGCTCCGAACGAAGCGTGGAGTATATTTTTGAGCCACGTGCTCAAAACCGATTCGGGTCGATGAAGCCATGGGACACTCCCAATAAATAGCTGCGGATATCCGCCTTCTTAATTCTCGAAGCATGGTTCCAGATTATTTTTTTACCGGATTTTTTGACGATCGCTCACTTGGACCAGTTTAAAGAAAACGGCGTCCCGGCCGATTTGGAGGATCCGGTTCCTGGGTCCTTGAAGCCCTTCTTTGCGGCCTGACAGGTTTGGTTTGATTTGCCGCCCGAAACCACCCTGGGCCATTCGCAAGGGTGAAAGTCCATACCTGGAGTCTCCATGACCCTTAGAAAATGGGGTCATGACCCCTTTATGTTGGGTAATGGCCCCATTTTTTAAGGGTCAGAAGGAGACTCCAGGTAGAAACCCGAAGCCCGCGTGGCTGGAGTTCATGCTTCTGGCAAAAGGGGAGCGGAAGCCAGGGAGAAACCATCGGGGCTTTTTGGATGTTCCGGTGGCCAGATCCCAGATCCCAGGCGAGGGTGGCTAGTGGAATCACTGGGAAGGTTTCTTTCAGTTCCAGTTTTGCGACAAGTAAGGGTTTCAATCAATGGTTCTCCTGATTTCCCATTCCATGGGTACCACTCCCAGTGCTTCCTTTCGTTTTTGGTTTTTTGTTTTTTTCGCCACCAGCTGCGGCGAAACCCATGGTAAAACCTCAAGGTGCGGAAGGATTCCCCTTCTGACCCTTGAATCAAGAATGGGTCCATGACCCGAATCTTTGATTTTGGATAATGACGTCAACTATTTTTGATTTGGGTCACTCTAGAATCCACTGTTTTCTTCTTTTTAAACCCAGTCTTCATAGGTGTCCCGTTTGGTTGTTGTGGTAAAGAAATAGATGGCCCTGGTTTACCTGGTGGTTGAATCATCTACTCGGGAAACCCATCTATTTCCCCAAAAGGACACCTATGCCAGTCTTTGCGAACAAAAATAGCCCTTTAAAAATGGGGTCATTGCCCAAGATTCAGGGGCTATGATCCCTTCTTCTAGGGGTCATGGAGATTTCAGGTAGGAGTTTTGTGAACAAAACGGCCAGAGGTACATCTTCCGAACCGCCGGCCGACGGATCTCCCCAGCGCCTCTCGCCAGGTGCGGCTCGAGAGGAATCTTGGCGAATGGCGCGCCGACCTGAGATTGGGACGGTCCCTCTATGGCCCCTTTTGGTTTTTAAGACCATCACCTTCTTGGCACATGAAATATGAGTGCTTTTTTTGGTGGGGGTGTAAACTTGTAAACATCACCTTTTTGGCCACCATGAAAGGTGTCCCGTGGGGGTGAGGTTTTAAGGGGAAATATAGGGAGCGCTGTTGGGACACAGCATGGGCTCAGTCAGCTCTGAAGCGGAAAAAGACATGGAGGTCTGGCCGCACAATCATCGCTTATCACAAAGCGATCCACCGACGAATCCTGAAGGCCGTCGCCATTCTATTGAACGAACTGGCCCACGACACGTGGCCGGACTCCTGGGGCCTGACATCCACTCCACAATATGGAGCAACATCAGGCGCTATTTTAAGGAAACCGACCCGGACATGACCCTGGCCTTTCACAATGATGACTTGTTGGGCTTTTTCAACAGCGTGCCTCATGTTTTTTTTGTTTTGCGGGACAACAGATGGTTGGTTTCCCTTTGGTTGCCCTTTTTGAAACCACCAAAAAAGGGTACCCTCCAAAAAAGACAGACTTACAGGGTCATTTTAGGGCTGGCTCTTGGTTTTGGGCACACTTTTTTAATCATCTGCGCCTTGACATTGCATATTTTGCCACATTTGGGTGTTGAACATCGGTCTTGGGTCCTTCTCGATTTGGTTTTTCAGGTTCCAATTGTCTAAGTACCCTAACGAACGAATCGGTTGAACGGGCGCAGCGACCTATCGCCTGAAAAGGAAACTAAAAGCAAAAACGAGGTGTTTTATTTTACGTAAGCTTCTGCAAGCAGCTGCAAGGACTGATGGACGAAATCCTGCAGTTGAGGAGTGAAACCATACGAACGGGATAAGCCATATAATATATACTGGTGCGAATTGGATTTGTCCATTGGAGTCTCCATGACCCTTGAAAGCATGGGGACATTACCCAAATCAAAGGGGTCATGAGCCCATGTTTGATTCGGATCATAGAGACTCCAGGTACAGTAATTGAGCCATTGCTGCATCAGCTCTAGCTGGAGTATCTGGGGTAGCTGGCTCTTATGATTATAGTCATGACATACTTTCCCAGAAACTCGAACGAGCAAGGGATTGTCCAAATGACAGGCAACAACATGGATCTGTTGAGCTCGACAACCCTTTGATACACAAAATTATGCTCAGTCGTTGCTTGACACTTATTGGGTTTCTCGCGTGAAAACTGACAATGTGAGCACCTTTGTAGAGCTCGAGCGCTTTTTGGAAATCGAACATGTTCGAGCCCTGTGCAAGGGCTCCTACTGGCTAATGTTGGTTTGCCCAGAGACTATACCCACTATACCTGGAGTCTCCATGACCCTAAAAAATGGGCTCACTACCCTAAATAATGGGGTCATGGCATGGACCTATTTTTAAAGGGTCATGGAGACTCCAGGTACCTCCAAATAAGTTCTTCTATTTGCGCCATTGATTTTGCGCATGCCCTTTGCGCTGGGTGCATGGTGCATGGGGGACTCCATGGACAAGGGGCGGTTGTCCAGCCCCCGCTTGTGGGTGAAATTGCTGACTGCTTTGAACATGCAACCTAGGCCCATCAAAGCAGAAGTTTGAGGTCAGAGCGAAGCTGGGTGTCTGTTCTTCGCGAATCCACAACTCGAGCGTATGTTCGCTCTACGAGGGCGCAATGGTCCACTATTCCAGTTTGGAAAAATGTGCGAATTCGGGATTCCAAAGCCCAAGAAAGTCATACTGAAGTCAAAGGTGCGTTTTGGGTCACACCAAGGTTGCAAAGGGACCCAGCAGGCCGTTTCATGCTACAAGCTGTTGTGAGAGCGGGGTCATTGCTGCAGAACATGAATGGATAATACAGGACTGCAAGGGGCATTTGCGATAGCGCTGCAGCCACAAAAGTGGGTTAAAACCATGGTTGTAAGGGCCAGCTACCCGAGTAACCCCAGATACCTGAACCTTCTGGGGGTCAAAATGTTTAGGCTTTGGCCTAAAAAAACGTGTTTTTTTTCGTTGGTGTGAACACATGCTTTTAGGGCGAAAAAACGCCGGCGGTCATATTTGTTTGTGCCGCGGTCGGGAATGTTCGTCTGTTGGTCGGGAATGTTCGCCTGTTTGTCGGGAATTTTCGCCTGTAGATTCGGGGAGATTGCGCTTATCACCCAAATTGAGCAACAAAATTAAAGGCCGTAGGCAAAACAAACACGCGCAATTGCCCAAAAGAGCGAACAGGCGGAAATTTTGAGCAGGACTTGCCAAGTCGGTTGAGCACCATCAGACAACCATTGCCAAGCGGGGAAGCCCTCAACAAGGCTCATAGGCTTATTCAGGGCTTATTTGGCCTCCGCCCCCCTCCCTCCCCGCCAGCCCCCATGAAACCACCCGCCGCGCGTTCCGCCGTCTCGAGGTGTCCTTTGTGGAAGGCCTCGAAACCAGCGCCGCCTGGGAGCATCCCCTCACCATCTCTGAGAAGCGCTCAAGGCCGGCACTGACCCGAAGGAACCTCGGAGGTGGACCCGGAGGTACCGTTGAAAAAAAAGAAACGCTTGGCTTCACACATGTGTTTTCCAACTTGCTTTTTCAGGACCCAGACACTCCCGATTCAATTTAGGGCCCTCGAGCAGCCAGGTTTGGAGAGCCCCAAACATGTCGAATGGAGGGGTCGGGTCTTCCATTGCAAGCCCCAGGAGCCTGAAAAACCGTTTAAGATTGACCCAAAGAGAGTGTTCTTGTTGTGCAGTGAAATTCCACGTGTCTGGGGGTGTGGTGAACATGGATTGATTTAAGCTTGTCTCAAAATAGGATTTGGCTCCTTAACATTGGTGGCTTTTATTTTGTTCGAGTGTTTTTTGTGTTCATACCCATGTAGCTAGGGCGGTGCCATCCATCGATCCGCAAAGCGATGTTGGCAGTTTCCCTTGTAGAGTTGGCTCTAAAGCTTCTGGATTGGGGATCTCCTTCTTTTCTCAACAACCCTCAAAAGGCATGGGGGGAGTTTGTGCAAACCGCCAGAGGTTGCGGTGTAATGTTTCAAGGATCCTTTCTTGGGTAGGGGATGTCCTCTCTTTAGATTCTTCACGTGGTGTTGGGTGGACTCAGACCAACAGTGAGGCTAGTTTAGGTTTGTCTTTTTCGGAGGGGGCTTCTCCAAAGGTTTCACTCTGACTCGCGGCCCCAAGTGAGCTTTGGGTTCGAATCAAAAGTTGGACATTTCGTTTTGTTGCTTCGTATGGTTCAGGGTGGCTTCAATAGATATGCTGTGGATGGACGAAATCAATCTCGCACCGCCAAAGAATCCCTGAGTGATGGTTGCCCTGTCAATCCCATTTCAAGGAGAATGTCGTCCATCACCAGTATGTCTGCTGTGGCTCTTGTTGTGGTACTCCTTTTTGGTGCTGTTTTCAAGAGAAGCCGCCCCGTTTTTTCGTGGGTCCCCCAAGTTTTGCACACACCCGCCATGGTCGGGCCATCATGGAAGGCGTCACGGCACCATGTGGTTGGCTTGTTGACTTTCTGGTCAGTGAATGACCCAGGGTGCTGGGAATGAAACTATAGGGATTCCCTAAAAGCAAACCATAGGGGATGGTGTATAGGGGTCATTCCCCCGCATTCTCTGCTGAGAACCAGCAAGTGTCACCCTACTTGAAAAGGAAACCCAAATCCTTTGTCTCTTGAGCTCCCCCGTTTCACCCAGCCCTCTACCTGGTTGATCTGGTTTGATCCCCCTGTTATACCCAGTTGATCTGCCAAAAGGCGAGCTCACCTGGGGGTATACCACGAAGAAGGTCCTTTACCCTTAGTTTCGGATATACAGCACAATTTGCAGATGGCCTTTCGCAACGGTCACCACAGAGTTTGGATCATTGGACACTTCGGGTTGTCGGAATGGGTACCCTCTCGGACCAAATGGGTTTTTGATGGCAACATGAGTGAACACTCACTACAACGAGCTGACGCCCCCTCTGCTGTTGGAACTGGAGCGAAAGCTCAAGCATGTGTGGGCGGCTCAGTGCATCTGGGACAATACATATCTTTGGCGCACCAACGAATGGGTTTTCCATAAAACCACTAAAAGTTAAACTTTTAGCAGGGGAGCAGAAAGCAACCGATGTATATATATATATATAAATATATATGGTCAAGGGTTTGCAAGTCCCCGCCCCCCTCCCACCCCCCCTCCCCCCCCCTTTCCCCCCCCGTCCCCCCCCCATCTCCGTGGTGTGGTTGGGGTGTGGTTTCGGGTTGGTTTGTGGTTGGTCTAAGACCACCCCTCCCTCCCCCCGTGTGGTGGGGTTGTAGTGGTGTAGACTTGGTTTAGGGTTGATCTAGTTTAGTGGTTTAGGATGGTTTAGGGTTGGTTTAAAGTGTGTTTAGTGTTGGTTTAAAATACGTGTTTAGGGTTTGTTTAAGGTTGGTCTTGGTTGGCTTAGAGTGTATTTAGTCTTGGTTAAGGATGTTTTTTTTTTTTTCTTTTTTTTTTCTCTTTTTTATTAAAAAAATAAAAAATCCTGGGTGCAGGGGTGGTTTAGGTTAGTTTCGGGTGGTTTAGAGCGTGCTGAATATTGGTTTAAGATATTTGCTTAGGGGTTGGTCTAATCTCAGGTTGGTTTACGGTTGGTTTAGGGTTGATTAAGTTGGTTCCGGCTTGGTTTAGAGTGTGTTCAGAAGGTGTGAAGTGTTGGTTGAAAGCTGTGTGTTTCGAGCTACCTGGAGTCTCCTTCTGACCCTTAAAACATGGTTGGCCATGACCCAAAATACAGATTCGGGTCATGACCAACCATTTTTTAAGGGTCAGAAGGAGACTCCAGGTAGTTTAGGGTTGGTTGAGGGTTGGTTTCGGGGTTCGTTTAGGGCGCAGGGCGTGCCGAGGTGTGGGTTCGGGGGGTGAAAGGGCCGGGGGCCGGGACCGCAGCAGGGCATCTGCTGGCAGTCGGGTTCTGCGAAAGGGGGGGGGGATACCGTTGGGGGGGGGGGAGGGACTGGGAACCCGGAGCCCGGGACCATATATATACATATATATATATATGTATATATATATATATATATTTCTATATTTATGCAGGGGAGCAGAAAGCAATCGATATGTATATATATATACAAATATGTATAGACACTCAAGCTAGGCTCATGCCTTTTGCAGCTTCCATCCCGATACGTGAAACGCGTCGTTCTCGCATTTGGATCGAGGCTGGTTGCCATCCTCACCAAGGACGGGGTTGGCTCTTTGGCCTTTGAGCTGATCGGAATGCAGCTCCGAGCCTTTAAGACGACCCAACATTTTGGGTAGAGATAGGTTCTGTTGAGTGTTTCCCATGGTGTTTCATTGGTGTTCCTGAAAAGACATCGTGTGTTCCTGTATTTTCTTGGCTCCCAGCCATCCCCTTAGCCTTAAATTTTAGCCTTTTAGTGTTAAGTGGTAGTTTCCATTTAACCCACCAAAAGTTGTCAACTTTTGGCGGGGGATCTGAGGGCATTTCACTTCCATTTGCTTGTTAAGAATATTTGTTAGTTTGTCCTGGTTTTAAAGGGAATCAATTTCACTACTGGAAACATTTTTCCCAGGGGTCTTAACCAAATGGAAGCTCCCCCCCAACCCCTATGAAACCATGACCCGCCGCGATTTCCGCCGTTTTGAGGTGTCCTTTGGGTTTCCAACTCGTTTTTTCCCCTTTTTTCAGCCGCGGTGTTCCCCGGGTCAACGACCAGGAGGTGACCTGCGCGGAGAAGGAGTCTTCGGCGGCGCAGGATCTGGCAGCGGCCCCGGGGTGGTTCCAGAAAGAGTTGGATATTGGATAGTGTTTGGTTAGTGTTCAGTAATTAGGTATTTAAGTGTGTTGTTTGTGGTTTTTAGTGGTTTTAGAGTTTGTTTTGGATGGTGTTTATTGGTTTTTAGAGGTTTTTAACGGATTTTAGAGGTTTTTAGGGGTTTTAACTGGTCTTAGTGTTTTTTAGTTGTGTTTAGTGGTTTTAAGTGTTTTTTAGGGGGTTTGAGTTGTGTGAACACAGCTCAGTTTAGGGAAACCAAAACACGAGTGAGGGTTAACCCCCACTCGGTTAGGGAAGCCCCTTTATTGACTCATGTGGGTGAGTTCTTTCTTTCAGGGAAACCTTTTTTGATTGGTAAGAGAAGCATGTTTCCCGAAAACCGAAGCCGTTGTGGTCCACTAAAAGGACACGCCCAAGTGTTTCAAGTTTCTGCTGGAGGTGGGAGGCCTTTCCGACGTCAAAACTGCCTTTTTCAAGTGTGCCATTTTTCTGGTGGGTGAAAGAAACCCCTGTTAATTTAGCAGACGAAAAGAGTGCCGATTATTTATTTGTGTGTTTATGAAAATCCACGGGTCTTGGTGTATCAAAGCTGCGGAAGAAAGAAGAAGAAAACAACCCTCCCGACAAACATGAGCCCTGGGCATACTATCCCAGAGAATCCATGTAAGTAACATATGCCCACATGTGCCATCCAAATGGGTCAACTGTTGGTATATATGACCTACATCGCCATGGACCCCTTGGTTTTAGGCAACCAAATGCCAGGGTTCCCAAGAAAGCCACGATGACCCACATGAGCCACAAGGCCATGGCAGAGAAGAATCTTCGGCGCTTTTGGCGAGTCAGTTGGGAAGTTTCAGAGGTTTTGCTCAATTACTTGAAGTCTGAGTGCAGGGAAAGCGAGTCTTGCCTTTGTTTCTCGGCCGGTTTAGGGAAACCGTTTGTATGAATCCTTTTTTGCTGGACTTCAGGGTAGGAGATGGATCCCAGCGAACCACCAAGTGATCTCGGTGCAGTTTCCTGCTGTGCTCGGTTTTTGTCCAGGCGAATCGTCATGCCAGGGTTTCTGAACGGTGGTGCCTAAGAGGATTTATCGCAACCATCCACATTTTGGTGCATTTTGCCAAGGGATGTTAGGACTTTAACTCTTTGCCAACGAATGGGTCTTCCATTGAACCACTAAAAGTTTAGCTTTTAGCAGGGGAGCAGATTTCGCAACCGAGCACAGTCTCACGCCACATGTCTGAAGTGGGCAGCTGTGGGATATCAACACGCACCATCCCCCAGGACTTGGAGCTGAATTTTCTAAAGGAGGTCTTGAATAGGTTTACCCCTCTATTTTGGGTCCCCTAAAGCGCACACACACAAAACAGACAACCTCCCGGGGTGCCCGTGGGCACAAGGCGTGTTTTGACCTCCGGAAACGGGAAACCCGACCCGTCGAAACGGGCAAAGCTCCGCGCTCGGAGCTCCGAGCTCCGAACGCCGAGCGCCGAGCGCCGAGGCGGCGGAGTTGCGGCAGCGCTGCGAAGGTCTGCAGGCGGAAGCCGAGTGGCTCCGGGCCGGGGCCCGAGGGGGATGCGCGTTTCGAGCGGCGCGGCGCGTTAAACGGCGGGCTGAACCTCCGCATGGTATAAGGATCCCAGTGGCCCAGGAATTGTTGCCCCTTTTTTTCCCCAGTTCTTTTTTTTTTTTGAAGGGGGGAAAGATGCCCCTTTTTTTTTCCATGGCCATTGGGAATCTGAGAAATCCTTAATATAATATATATATATATATATATGTATATGTATATATGTATATATGATAATGATTCCTCTTATAAGGGAGCCATGACCATCGGCAATGTAAGGAGTTTTCAACTTGGCTCAGTTGGGTGTGCCGCTTTTTGATGGTACCCTGTTTGGGGTCGGTTTTCAGGGAAGCCCTGTAGGGAAACCGTTGCCGTTCGTTGGTTGGGGGGGCCTCGTTTGGTTAGTTTCAAAGGCAAACCATTTCCGAATACTTATCTCCCCAGTGCCAGTACCAGCAAGCTAGTTTCTGTATATAGTCGGTATCGTGCTTACAGTTGAATACACGGGTGTGTGAGCATAGATATATAAAGGAACCAAGAAAGGCGAAGAACGTGCTCCTCAAATGTATATGGAACGCATGAACAAGCTTCCATGCAGCAGTAACATGAAAGGAAGCGCTTAGAATGCCAAGTATTGATTAGGAAGTTCCGACTCTCTCTGCGAGTATCTATTTCTTTACCGTGCGTCTCTCGGCTCACCAACCTTGCAATCTTAGTTATTCCACCTATGTGTAAGGCTTTAGGAAACGCATTCGCCATCATGTCATTGCATTTGCAATCGTTTGTGTCATGATCTCATGAAACAGGAAAGATAATGAAACAACCGAGTTCAAAGCTCCAAAACCTGCACGGGCTCCAGCAACAAACACAAATCACAGGTTTCAACAGTTTCATCTTCAGGATCTTCATGTTTTTGTATCCCTGTGCAACACACGCACAGGCCCAAAAACAAAAGCACCAACAACTCTGAACCGAGTTTGGTGTTCTTTTTGTTTGGGCTGTGTAAGTTTCTTAGCTTTCATCTCCAGGATGTTCAGTTGTTTGAACCTGTGCAGGTTTCAGAGCTCCAAGGTGCGAAAGAACAGTTTGTCCAATGTTTTTTGAACTGTGTGCTCAAAAACATTGTGAATCCGCTTTCGACTTATTGCCTTTCAATCCTCAAAAGACGAACCATTTGCTAGCATAGGGAAAGCAACGCACCAACAAAACCACTGTATGTACTTTGCAGTGTGGTCGCACATGTGGAAGAAAGAGACCGGCAGAGTAGACATGACACCTTCGAACAACAATCATGAATGGTAGTGACCATATAAACATATAAATATATATATATACTATGTGTTTCATGTTTCTTGGCTCTTTCTTATTTGGGGGGGCTGCAAAGAACAGTCCATGTCGTTCGACCAGTTCATCTACAGGAGGCCAAATGACTTGCCGGTGCTCAACAGGGAATGAGTAATGAGGGAATGCCCCCTATAAACCATCCCTTGTGGGTTCCTTTAAGGGAATCCCCAGGTTCATTCCCACATTCCCTGCTCAGCACCGGCCCGTTGTTTCTTGATGTTGGCTTGGCAGACTTGGCTTAGCCTGGCTCTGGCAACGAGCTAAGCTGAGGCAGAGCGTGATAGCTACATCATGGAGTCCAACAATCACTGCCAAACTGTGCCCTACCGCGAACCGCATCGTGAAAGCTGGACCCCGGATGAAGCAACGACCATTTCAACAATGGGGGTTTAGCTAAGGAGTTTCATCATCTAAATTGGGTTAACCATCATTTTTAGGTCGGGGGTTTGAACCCTAAGGTGTGCTCGGGATGAATTAACCGGTTGATTCCTCCCACAAGTGGAAGATTCCCTCTACAGCGGGACAGCCCCCATGTATTGACCAGAGGCTTTTGACGCCGGAGGCCTCCTTTGGCTGGACGATCAATTTCTCATACCTGGAGCTGCTGAGTTTTAAAGCCAACGAGCCCTGTGATTTCCTGGACCTCCAAGGAACCCCTTGTTTGCTGCCTTTGACCCACAGAAAAGGGGTACAAAGGCAGAAAACAGGGGCCCTTTGGGATTCCAGGTTGTTCTTCCTTCCTGCCCTAGATGGCACATGTTGCTCTCTCAGCCGGAACGCACCCACCATCGCGAGACGTGATCGGTGCGATTCTGACTTGCTGGGGTATCACTCACCTGATCGCGCCAGGAGTCAATAGACCCTGCCCTTGTCTTTGAATTCGGTACATGCTTTTGGTTGCACCGCTTCAGTGGATGCCATAAGATGTTGCCAATACACCAACCACGCGGGAAGGTTCAAAACCAAGGCAAATTACAGTAAGGCAGGTGCCTTCCCTTGTTCACCTTGTAATATTTAGGGCATTCACCCTACCAGGTTTCAATTGTCACTTAGCACTCCTTCTGTCGAGACCTTCGGGTTTGGCTGGCAAAGAGTCCAAGCGGTCAGAAGGCTTGATTGAGATTCAATTCGCACAGAGAAGCACACCCCCGGTGCTTCCCTCCTGGAAGCCGTAGGTAACATACTGAACCACTTTTCGGGTCCAACTCCGATGGGAAGCTGCGCGCAGCTGCGAGTACCCTTTTCTTCATTTCGCCTGAACATCGGAGATGGTACCCCAAAATGGGGTCCAACTCCGATTCCTAGCAAACACCCATATATGGGCTTGTCCTTGCGTCTAAATCGGGAAATCCCCAAATATCGGTGTGTCTCAAAATGGAGAAGCCCAACAAATTTGTCATTTCCTGCTGGCCTTCCTTTAAAAGTTGATCCCCAAACGACAGTTGCTTGGTGCCCCAAGAAAGCGAGGTACAGGAACTCACCGCCTGCTGTGCAGCACTCTATGTTCAGGCCTTGATGAGTCGGGCCCCAAGGGACGACACGCATCGAGTTGCCGCAGATTCGAAGTGAGCCACAATCAAAAGCCGGGTAGATGAAGGTTAGTAAGGGGCAGTCCAAGTCGGAAATAGTTGCGGCCGCCTTCTTAATTCTTTACATGGTTCTGGGTAGAGCATTTTACTAGCGGGTTTGATTGTGACTCAAGTGGAGCAAGCCGAAACGGAGGCGGAGTGTGGGGGTGTGCCATTGGACACCTAGCGTCAATTTTGCGGCGAAGCCTAAAAAAAGCAAATACCCTAAAGAAGGAGGTTACAAAATGGACCCTAAGTGTCCACCATCAGAAGGGGGGGGTCGAAAAGAATCAGGTGGTGAGCTTGTTGCAATGTATCCATTTTGGGTTGGGTAGCAGGCAAACCAATTGGAAAACCAAAATCCAGTTTTGGGATCACATATCCATGCGGTCCCCAGTCGGGTGTTCCATCTCCACATCTCCTCTCCCTCCCCGCCGAGAGATCCACAAGGAAGAGAAAAGGCCACGGGCATTTGTTGAGGCTTCATGTCGAAAAAGCTCCGCTCCAGTTGGGTGGACATGGATGACGCAATGCACCCTGTTGCATCATCCCCTTTCTCGAAACCAGCCACAGGAAATGCTACAGGAAATCCTGTAGTATTTCCTGTAGCTGGTATCTATGACTCTGGTTATATGCCCACATCTGCCGGGAATAATGTGCCATCAACTTTCACTCTGCGACAGAAGACGCCTGCGACGCGGCGCCAGGATCATTGCCTGTAGGACCTCCCTGTCAAGTGCCATGTCTCCTAAGTGCCATAACATGCTGAAAGGGAGACTATCCATTCCCCCCTCAACATGATTGCCAGATTCCCATTCCTCACCACCCTCACTCACAGACCCACCCATTGTCCCTGTGGAAGACTAGATAAATGGACTTGGGTCCCGGACCTCCACCCCCCTGCCCCTTAATTAAGGGTGATCCTGTGATTTCAAGCATCACTCGCCGCTTTTCCGTCACCTCGGAAGCATCTCTCACGGTTGTTGAGGCCGCGTCCAGGGCAAGGCGTGATCTCATACGGGAAGGTCGACCGAATAATGTTGGATCAATAAACCACTTTAAAGGGAAACCAAGAGGAAAGCTGGAGCCATGTTTTGGGGCCCCCTAAACAACAACACACCAAGTCCCGGGTGTGTTGTTGTTTAGGGCCTCCCCAAAATAGCTCCAGCTTTCCTCTTGGTGTCCCTTTAAACCCAGCAAGAAAGGGTAACCTCAAAAAAAGACACGCACTTGAGTCAGCAAAGGGGATCCCCTTTGTAGTGGGGGTGACCCTCCCACCAATGAACATGGAACCTGGGAAGACGTTCCATGTCACTTAAATTGGTGGGAGGGTACACCCCCCACTTGCTGTGAGGGGGGCTCATCTTTTTCGTGGATCTTCAGCACTCCATTCCGCAAAACACCTGGCGCAGCTCTGACGGTCTGACGGTGTCGGCACTGTGAACGTGCCAGGGGGATTGTCAAACAGGAGTACCCTTTTTGGGCCATAGTTTATTTTGGGCCCGCGTTGAAAAGGGATCCAAAAAGGGTTCCATATGTTTGATAACCCACCGCTTGTTTCACAAATGTTGAACATAAATTTGAATTGAACCCTGCTTCAATAAGTTGTGCTTAGTTGGTCACTGATTTGAGAAGAAACTACAGAGGAAATAAGCTCCTGTGCAAGTTCTAGTTAAACACGGAATCATTATAATTGAAGTCATCATGTAACATAGAACTTATGTTTGGATTATTTCCTTATTAATTTGTGTTTAAAATCTACTTGAATTGTTCTTTTGGGAAGACTTGTATCAACATTATACATTTAATAAATATCCAGTAGATTATTGAACTTCCAAGTTGAAGATTTAACCTGCACTGGCTTCGAAGCAACTTATTCCTTATCGAATCCCGTGTAAATCATGTTCAACTTGTAATTGCATGTTGGAGAGTGGCCGTTGGGGGAAACGTGACCTGGGTACGAAACACGCTGCAAAACAATATGTGTTGCGGTGTTTTTTGCCCATGATAGTGCTGGGGTGGGAAGGTGCTCAAACCCGGTGGCATCAACCTGGTGGATAGATGGGGTTGTGCCGTTTTTTAGGGTGCCCTGCTTTTTTTTTTGGGGGGGGGCACGAGGCAACTGTGCCATGTTGGTTGAAGTCCCAGCAAGGGTTTTCCATGGGACCTCTACAGTCGACAAGTTGGAAGTTTCGAGGAGCATTCCGACCTGAGTGAAGGTCTTTGGTTTGAAGAATTTGGGCGTGGCTTTTTTGAGGTAGCCCCCCAACATGGCTTTTGTTTTCCTTTTGGTACTCCTTGTAAAACCATTTTGAGCTTCAAGGAGCCTCCAGTTGAGTTCGATGGTGAAAGGGCACACCTGTCTAAGCTCGCAGGCCATTGATTCTCAACAGGGAAAGCTAGATGGGGGTTGAGCAGTATTCCTGGCCCTCAAATGACCTGCATGGTTCAAAACAGCGTACCAGTTGAAACTGGTACTTGGGCCTGCCTTGCTCAGGGGGTGGCAGTAGCTGGAGTGTGCGTTGTTGGGATTGGTGGTCCACATGAGATGCGTTCTAGGGCATGCGCCCCCATGGTTTGCTCGTGTGATCATGTGGCTTCACTGTACAGTGCCCATTTTGGGGGGTTGAAATTGAATGGCCAAATGAGACACAATCAAACCCGGGTAGATGAAGGATAGTAAGGGACAATCCCAACCATAAATAGCTGCGGCCGCCTTCTTAACTCTTTACATGGTTCTGGGTAGACCATTTTGATACCGGGTTTTGATTATGACCCCAAATGGAAAGCACCCAGTTTGCAGTCGCTCGTTAGCGCTCTGCCCGGCAGTGACTTTAGCCAGGGGCCGAAAGGCCGCGCACTGAGTGCAAGAGAGAGCGCGTCGTGCTGCGATGGATCTCACCGCTCATCGATTCGGGGGTAACACGAGCGGAAGCCATGGGAAAGATCCTTTTCTTGGACCCAATTCTTATTTCAGGATTTGGACATATTGAGACTCTGCAAGTCAAATTGCTTTCTCTGCAAGGACACATGCATGTGTGGCACGGAGGTCTTGAGAGCTAGCCTAAGCCCTTGCCTGTAAGTAAGCGTGCAAATCCTTGGACATATTGCACAATTTGCAGATGGATGCCAACGAATTGCTGTTTTCTTTGCCCGGGGCCTTTCAAACAAGTTTGTGTCAAGGGAGGTCCAATGGGGAAGACTCCTTGTTGCAAAAACTTGCCGCACGAGGCCTCAAGCAATTTCCGGATTTGGAACAACGCCCTCCAAGGGTTTGGCGTCTCAACAAGGTACAGCACAAGGAAACAAGTAACACCCTCAGCACATGTACTCTAAGGGTTGATTCCCCATTCTCTTCACCCATCGTTCTTCTCGAAACCACCCATTTTCCCCGGAAAAAAAGGAGAAACAAAAAGCATGGCCCATGTTTGAAGAGAAGGATCCCTGAATGGAAGGGGTGCGCTGCGGCTAGAAGTGCACGCAAGTGGTTGCATAGCGATTTCCTCTGGTTTGTGCATTTAGAGAAGGGAAGGACGTATGCACAGGAGACATAATATGACATTCGCCGCGCGCAGTAGGGAAGGGGAATCATACCGGGGCTTATAGAATACTATGATCTGTGGTGAATGTTCGTCGCCTCGTTTCCCGTGAGTGCAGGTTGTTAAGGCATGACTTTGGGACCAAAGGTGTCTTTTTTAGGTGAGTTTGGTCAACCATAGATGGCACTGGTTTGGATGGGTTTTATAAACCACCCACCAGGGAAACTCATCTATTTTTCCAGAAGGCCATGAATGTTTGGGACCCTTTCTGACTCCCTTGAGACAAATTGGCGCCAGGTTTGTGCGATTTGGACCCTATGTATCCAAGGAATTCGGGAGGGAGCCCTCTTTCATTAGGAGGTTGAGCTGAAATGTGGCTTGATCGCGGCTTGGAGATTATTTGAGACTGTCAGGTGCAAATGCGATGGCTGGAGCCGAAGCAGAGGCAAAGCAGGCATTACAGGACGCAAGGGCCAAGACAGCTGCTTTGGATGAGGAGAAGCAAAGTTTGCAAGAGCATGCAAGGGAGCTTGAGGCCGCTATGTCAAAGCTGCATCTTCGCTTTGACGAAGAGACTGCTGAGAGGAAGCGGCTAGAGATGCAAGCGACTGAGTCAGCAGAGCGCTGCAAGGCCGCTGAGACAGCAGTGCAGAACCTGCAGCAAGCAGCAGACAGTGCGCGGCGTGGTCAGGATTCAGAGAAAGACCAGTTGAGCACTCGGGCTGCAGATCTGCAGCACACTGTTGACAAGCTGCAGCAGCAACTAGAGGAAGAGCGCTCAAGTCATCATGCTCAGCTGCAGCAAACATTGCAAGCGGCTGATGCCGAAGCAGAGGAACAGCACGCATTGCAAGAGGACTCAAAGGCCAAGACAGCTGCTTTGCATGAAGAGAAGCAGAGTTTGCAAGAGCAGGCAAGGGAGCTTGAGGCCGCTATGTCACAGCTGCAGCTGCGCTTTGACGAAGAGACTGCTGAGAGGAAGCGGCTAGAGATGCAAGCGGCTCAGTCAGCAGAGCGCTGCAAGGCCGCTGAGACAGCAGTGCAGAACCTGCAGCAAGAAGCAGACAGTGCGCGGCGTTGTCAGGAGTCAGAGAAAGACCAGTTGAGCACTCGGGCTGCAGATCTGCAGCACACTGTTGACAAGCTGCAGCAACTAGAGGAAGAGCGTTCAAGGCATCATGCTCAGCTACAGCAAAGATTGCACGCAGCTGTTGCCGAAGCAGAGGAACATCATGCGTTGCTGGAGGATGCAAGGGCCAACACAGCTTCTTTGGGTGAGGAGAAGCAAAGTTTGCAAGAGCAGGCAAGGGGGCTTGAGGCCGCTATGTCACAGCTGCAGCTTCGCTTTGACGAGGAGACTGCTGAGAGGAAGCGGCTAGAGATGCAAGCAGCTCAGTCAGCAGAGCGCTGCAAGGTGGCTGAGACAGCGGTGCAGAACCTGCTGCAAGAAGCAGACAGTACACGGCGTGGTCAGGAGTCAGAGAAAGACCAGTTGAGCACTCGGGCTGCAGATCTGCAGCACACTGTTGACAAGCTGCAGCAGCAACTAGAGGAAGAGCGTTCAAGGCATCATGCTCAGCTACAGCAAAGATTGCACGCAGCCGTTGCCGAAGCAGAGGAACATCATGCGTTGCTGGAGGATGCAAGGGCCAAGACAGCTTCTTTGGTTGAGGAGAAGCAAAGTTTGCAAGAGCAGGCAAGGGAGCTTGAGGCCGCTATGTCAAAGCTGCAGCTTCGCTTTGACGAGGAGACTGCTGAGAGGAAGCGGCTAGAGATGCAAGCAGCTCTGTTAGCAGAGCGCTGCAAGGCCGCTGAGACAGCAGTGCAGAACCTGCTGCAAGAAGCAGACAGTACACGGCATGGTCAGGAGTCAGAGAAAGACCAGTTGAGCACCCGGACTGCAGATCTGCAGCACACTGTTGACAAGCTGCAGCAGCAACTAGAGGAAGAGCGCTCAAGGCATCATACTGAGCTACATGAAACACTGCAAGCGGCTGGGGCCGAAGCAGAG